GGGAGGGAGGGAGGGAGGGAGAAACGGAGACAGAGACAGAGACTCTGGGCTAAGCATGGACCTTTGAAACCTCCAAAGCCCATTCCCAGTGACATATTTCCTCCAACAAGGACACACCTCTTTTTTTTCCCAAGGACACACCTCTTAATCTTTATAATTTCTTCAAATAGTACCACTCCTTGGTGAGTAAGCATTCAAATATATGAGCTTATCTGAGCAATTCTTGTTCAAACTACCACATATTTATTGTGTGTGGGTATAGGTGAGTGTGAGCGTGTGCACGCCATGATGCACATGTCAGGGCATAGTTTGCAGGAGTCAGTTATCTCCTTACACTATACGGATCCCAGACATTGAACTCAGGTTGTGGGCTTTGACAGCAAATACCTTTACCCTCTGTGTCACCTTGCTGACCCCGACACACTTTTTTTTAAAAAAACAAAACAAAAAAACCTATTATTTGACAAGTTTGTTTGACTGTTGATTTGTTTGTAGCACTGAGGATTATTTCATATAGTCAAGATAATAGGGATCAAGATAATGGGGATGCCTGCCCTCAATTGCCTTCAAAACATGAGGTACAAATTTACCCCATTATTTTAGACAGAACTATGTTTATGAAATAAGTTGAAAATGTTTCCTTTCCTCTACTCAGAACTGCAGGCTGATTTTTTGTCCTGTTGGTTTCTTTGTGACAGTTACATAACATTACACGGTACCTGTTTTCATGCTCAGTAAATGTCAACCCCAGCCTTCAGCCTAAACTAGGCTTACCCTGAGCTCTGTCTGGCATGGTCTGCTCTTGTTTCCCAGGGACACAGGCATTCTGTGAGAAGGCCCTCTCTCTAGTCCAGGGAGAGTCGGGATAGCAGGATGCTAATCACTGAATAGGGAGGCCATTTTCAGGTACTTTATCATTCATCAAGTGAATAGACCAGTTCAAGAAGAGCAAGGCTTGATGGGTCAAGCTGGGATGAAAGCCAAGGATACGGGGGCCATGAGGTGAACACAGCACCCAGGATGCACCACAGTTATTCTTCTGGGATACGTCCCCTAGGTCATAGAACTTGTGAGACCGTAGATCGATGTGACTGACTATTCAGAGGTATGCACAGACCATATGCATTTCATTCTTGTAATGACCCCTGGACAGTATGCTGCTGTTAGGGAAGTACCACAAGTTTCCCATCGTCCTATGAGAAGTCTTTGACTCTGAACTCAGGACCCTGAGGAAGGAGTCAGGTTTGAAGCAGTCGGTCTTCAACTTTTCAGTGGCTTGTGTGACTCCTCAGGTGGGCCGTGGAGTTCTAACGCATGACTTGTATCATACTGTAGGGAGGATGCTTGCTGGTCTTAGGGGGTCAGCATAGAAAACTGACCAAGTTAACATCCTGTGAAAACATCAAGCCTGATGGACAGAAGTTTGTGGGTCAGAAACAGTTTCTCCTTTGTCTCTGGGACCTCTAACAGTCCTTCCTTAGGTTTGGATAGCCAAAGTCTCTTCTGCCAGTTACCTCTTTGGAAGCTGCGCCTCCAGCCCTGCTTAGCCAGCCTTGCTTTCTGTGACCTCTAGTGACCGTTGCTGGTATTACTTCCTGCTCCAGGGATGGATTTTCTTCTGCTAGATTATTGAATAGGCTTTTCTAATGGCTGACTTGCTTCTCTATGGGAACTTTCTCATTCCATCATATTGGAATTGGACATAATTCCAAACTAACTCTGATCATTGTTCTTAGATGTGATGCTGGCTGGAGTTAGCACTGGGCTTTCATGATCCGAGCCATAATTATCCACTCTATCTATCCCCTCACACATGTAAGAATTAAATGACATGCGGATTGTGAAGGACTTGCCATAAGAATACCCTCAGTATCTCTACTGAGCATGGAGTCCTGCAGTCTGTGGCCCCAGAGTCTTCTCTGTTGGTTTGTGTTTGTTTGTTTGTGTTTGAGACAGAATCACACTCTGTAGTCCATGCTGGCCTGGAATTCATTGTGTAGTACTGGTTGCTTTGAACTCATGAAGATTCTCCTGCCTCTGACTCCCAAGTGTTGAGAGGGTAAGGTGTTTGGCCTCTTTCCTGGGATTCTCTGGTGGTGGGGGTGTGTTGAGCCCAGCACAGGAGTGTTTTCTAAAGTGGTTATGCTCATTCTACAATAAACTTATCGGCTTATTACGTACACACTGATACTTACCTTGTGCCTTATTCTGCTGGGATCCAGGAGTCAGGACAGATAGAAGCCCCACTGTGACACGTTCCTCACTGAAATGACTGAAAAGGATTTATAGACGGTTGAAATGATCTGTGTCTTCCTGTGATTTTACAGTTTATTCCAGATGACAGGCTCTTCAGAAGGCAGAGACGATACAGGGCACTGTAAAAAAAAATGACTTTTACAGACCTTAAAATAAAGTCTTGTCTGGCAAAGATATCAGTGTGAAAACCAGAAGCTAAGCATAGACAGTTTACTCTGCTTCCTAGACATTTACTGTTGGAAGAAGGGTTGATGAGAGATGGTCTGGACATTTGAGAGGGAGGGGGGCAACAGTCATCAACCTGGCAATGTGTGAAACAATGTTTCTGGCTTTCCAGACTTGCACAAATAGTATGTAGAATGCCCAAGGGATTACACAGTCTCCCCCACACTCCCAGTTGTATTATTTCTTCAGATTCCAGTCAAATAGCAGCAGCTACAATCATTGGATACTTTCTGTTGTGAATATTAACCTTTACCAATGTAAACTTAGTCTCTATAGCAACTATGTAATATTAACAGTAAGTAACTGGCTCAGAGCTATTTGACTGATGGCTGATAAGCAGTGGGTTTGAACTCCAGAATACTGGCTCTAGACTTGAGATCTAGAGCTTGCATGCTTACCACTCTTCTGTACTGTTTCTCAAAGTTTCATTTTAAAAGACCATTGTGAGTCAGGAAGTTGTGACCCAGTTTTGGTGCCCAGTACAACCTGAAGTTAGACATGGTGGCATATGCCTAGAATTCCAGCATTCGAGAGGAGTATAATTATGTTCAAGATTATCTTTAGCTTCATACTGAGTTTAAGGCCAGCATAGGCTACAGAAGACTCTGTCTTAGAACTCTCTTGAAGTCACAGAAATCTGCCTACCTCTGCCTCTCAAGTTCTGGGGTTAAAGGTATATAAGAAAACCGTTCACTATGGCTCCTTCTCAGGGATGCATTTGAGTCTCCGTGGCACTAAAATCTATCCACACATGCCTTGATGATCCAGAAGTGAAGGCTGGGGATTTTCTGCCTGTGAGAAGTAGGTCTCTAGGAGCTGAGATGTTCAATTGGAAGAGTACTTGCTTGGGTTCAGTCACCAGCACAGCATAAAGCAGGCATTGTGGCTGAGCTTTTAATCCTAGCACCTGAGAGGTAGAGGCAGAAGTGAGTTTTGAACCCAGTCTGGGCTATATAATGAGTTCAAGGCCATCCTTTACAACATGAAATACTGTCTTAAGAAACAAAGCGAATCTCCAAGGTGCCAACTCTTCTTGACAGCAGCCTACTGTTGTGATCTGTGATCGAATATGTGTCCCCAGGATATTTGAAGCCAGTGTCTAACTGTCTGACATGTGTTGGAAGGATGCTGATAGTTTTAGAGAATATGCCTAGAGGCCCTAGGCCACTGTTTAATTAACCATTGCTGTAATCTTCCCACCTGGCAACTCCTGAGGGGCCATCTCAAGAGCTAAATCTTACCTTTCCTACTCTGTTGTCACTCATTCCAGAAAGTCTAGGAGTGTCTTTGGGACATTAGCAGGTAAGGTAAATGAAAGAAGCTGGCCAGTTAAGACTGGTATCTCCTGGGAAGCTGGAGTCTCATTCTCATTCAAAGACTTCTCGATACCAGGGCAGGTCAGCTAATAATCAATTACCTCTGATGCAGAGGGCAGAGGATGCTGGGAGTGCTGGGGACCATCTTTGGCTCAGGTGGCCTTTGTAGAATCTCAGCTTCCTCACCTGTAAAAAGTTGGTCTCCACAGTGCTGCAACGTCTGACAGCTTTATGATACGATCTGAGAGAATTCGTCTCCACATTAGCTCCTAATGTCTTTCTGTCTTTCTGTCTGTCTATCTGCCTGCCTGACATGTTGCAAAGTACCTGCCGGGCCCATTTGAGTGAATTGATTCTTTAGCTCTGGTGTTGCTGAGGTGTGTGTTGAACAGGTTTGCACTTTGTTCTTGTAATGAAACCCTTTGACTTAACCATGACTCTGCTTTGCCCTTGATTTTGCAAATGTGTGTGCACGCGAGGCACATGCACAAGATGGTTTTTTTCCTCCTCCTATAAGCAGTGCCTGCTGAGCAGATGAGCTTAGAAAGGGTGTTCTCTTCGTGTTGTTTCAGGGAAAATAGAGAAAGTCAAACCTCCTCCATCCCCCACAACTGAAGGTCCCAGCTTGCAGCCTGACTTAGCCCCCGAAGAGGCTGCCGGAACCCAGCGGCCCAAGAACCTGATGCAGACCCTCATGGAAGACTATGAGACACACAAATCTAAAAGGCGCGAGAGAATGGATGATAGTAGTGTAAGTTTTTCCTCCTTTCCTTTCTCTTTTCTGTGGGTGACCTTCAGTGTAGCATGCCTGTGTCCTGGTTCAGACCTGGATGTGTGTGCAATTTATCTGCTTGTCTTGCCTCGTGACTCTGAAACCTATTTTCAAATGAGTGGTTTAAATGTGCCTTGGGGACTAAGTATCTGTCATCAAGAGCTGGTTGTTTGGCGGCTAAGTCAAGCTTGAGGTGGTGGGCAAGGCTGGTCTGTGAGATGGAGAGGATGGAAGACGGTGATGTGCCTGGGCAATACAGCAAAGAAGAATGCATTCTCTCTGGACATGCCCTCGGGCTTCAAAAGCCTTGCTGTGATCGATTCTCGAGTATGTTGCACACTGCTCAAGAGTCTAGGTCTGTTTGGGGTTCTTTGTGTGCATAGTTGGACAAGAAAGAGACATTTTAAATGACAGCTAAAAACCACACAACTACCCCTCTCCCTTTAATCTTCCCAACTTAGTACATGTCCATTGTGTGCCCTATGAAAGGAAGTCATCCGATCTGTGGTTTCCTTGTCCAGTAAGAGATGTAAGAGGTGTTCTGAATGGTCCCCACAAGCCTGCGGGGCAGCCCCAGGTTATGTGCAAACACTCTAGAGTCTCTGGCATTAGCCTTTTATCTTTCACCAAAGTACACCTCCCGATCCCCAACCCCCACCCAATTTCACTAAGGTGGCAAATAGCTTGTATTGGTAAACTGCCCAGTTCCTGCCTGTTGTCCTGTATGTTTACGAACAGCACCCCTTTTCCCTCTTCCAAGTTTGGATAAGCTATGCAGTTACCTTCAACTTGAATGTTCTGAGGTTCACAGTAGGAAGTCTCTGCCAACTCAATGTCTTTCATGTGCTGGCTGGATAATCCCCAGTTAGAGGGTTTCCAGGATGAATGCCAGATGCTGAAGGCCCCTTTTGGGTTAAAGGGATAAAGAAGAGATAAAAACACACACATCCTTCTTCTTTATCACGAAGGAACGCTCAGGTAACTCTTCTGTGAGGCCGAGGGGCTTCTCTGTGGATGGAGCCCTGGCCTAGGTAGCTGCTGCAGACAGTTCTACTGGATCTCACTGGGCAGGTGCCAGCAGCAGCTTACTGTCTATTAAACCAAGTTAGCAGCCCCTTTGGGTGTAGAGCCCCCCTTTAGGTATTTTTAGTTGCAGTCTGAAGTACAGTCTTAGGAGCTAATGTTTTCTTCTCTCCTCCTGATTCAACAGTGTACATCAGCAGCTTTGCTGACCACTAGCCAAAGAGCCATGGGCCACTCAGTCGTGACTCACGTAAATGCTTTCTAAGTGCATTCTGTGTGTGCTTTTTGCACTAAACTGCAGATGTTAAGTGGGGAAAAGTACTTTCCAGGCCTGGTGCACAGGCCTGTAATCCCAGACACTGGGAAGTTGAAGTAGGAAGATAACATGGTCAAGGTCTGCCTGGGACACAGTGGATGGAGGCACTTATGTCACAGGCAGAAAACTAGACCCCTCCTTCTGGTATATACTCTGACACTCAGGAGTGGCAACTAGGCCCAGTCTGTTTTTCACTCAAAGAAATAAACATGTTGGCTAAGGAAGAAACCTACTAGTGAATCAATTTATTTTTATTTTTATTTGAGGGCTGGGTGTTTTAAGCTTTTCCTCGAATCACCCTAGAACAAAATCTGTCAACTGTTGAAGAGTTTTAGGGATAGGACAAACTCCAATCCCCAATATTCCTACCCGTGCCCTTCTAATAGAGACCCAAATCTCAAAAACCCGTACTCAAATTGCTTCTTGAGAAATTATATGGACATCAGCCTGAATTGATTTCCAAGCCACCTGCTAGCCTGTGTCTCAGCCCTTTCAATATAGGGCACCTTTCTATGCCTCTGTGTAGAGAAGAGCCAGCTTCATTTCCCTCAGTTGGTCCCTAGCCCTGTCTCCCATTTTCCCTGTCCCTGGAGAGGATGGGTGGCTTGGTGGTGGTTATGGAGTTGGCTCCCCTGTCCCTAAAAGCTTAAGGTGATTGTCTTCAGGGCCGTACAATTCTGTCCTCCTGAGCCATTCATACACATTGTTTTTAGGGTGACACATGGCCTCTTGGATTTTCTGTCCTCTATAAGCCTCCCATGGCTCTTGCTGTCACTTTCATTTGTCAACTGGCTCAGTGACAAAGAACAGAACAAAAACTCACTTTTCAAAAGGCTCTTCTGCCTCCCCTCTTAGAACATGACTGCTCCCTGTCCTCTCTTCCACTCTTCACCCGTTTGGGACTAGCTACCTTGTTCTGTGTTATCTCCAGTGAACGTCTCCAGGAACTACCAGGACATTCCATTTCTTAGGCCTAAACTAATCCTAAATAATCATCCCAAATGCTTATCCAAGGACTGTCCCAAGTTTGGAATCTTATCCAGACCCACAGGTTCCTCTGAGGGAGGCTATGGTCTCCTTCACTGACAGTGCCATCCTTAAGTCTGTTTTAGAGAAACTGCCTCCACAAACCTGGTCCTTCCTTCCTCCTCCCCAATTCCCTCCCTCTCTTTTCCCTTCACGTCCTCCTCTCTTCATTTCTATTGTTGGAGTCTTACTGTAATGACACAGTGGGGTACAGGACTGTTTAAGGTTCAGAGAACCCCACAGGAAAAGAAGAGGCTATTTGGTTACAGAATCCATCAAATCCAGAATGGCCATCTAGGTCCTTGCTGGTGGGCAGCTGATTAGACAGTGGAGGAGAAGAAATCTTGTTAATTCAACAGAAAACAAAAACAAGACCTGGAATTAACAAAACCTGGCTTCTCTGATATTTTTATTAATGAGTAATAGAGTATCTACTTGCCTCAAGAGATACAGACTTTTAAATAAACAAATATCAGATGAAGCAATACGTAGGTCGTATAATGATCCTCCCTGCCCCACCCCCAAGCCTCTTCTCCTTCTACTCACTCCTGGCATGGTGCCAGAGACCAGCCGCTGGGGGCGGGAGAGTCTGTGAATGTGTCTCTGCAATGTACTAACCCTGGTCTTTTCCCTCTCTGCCAGTACACCTCTAAGTTATTGTCTTGCAAGGTGACTTCCGAGGTACTTTTCAAACTTGTCTGTCTGTGTCCTGATGCATGCTTGACCTGGTGCACGCTGTGGTTTGTGGTTTGCTGTCTCCTGCTGTGTTCAATAAGAGTGGCAAGAAAAAGGCCTCCACTCCACGTGTATTTTCTGCCTGACCTTTCTGTACCGGGGAGCCGGCTCAAATATTGGCGTCCACAGGATAGTGAACACTGTTGTGCTGTGCTGGGAGGTGGGGTTGGAGAAGAACTTGGTCAGCCAAGGATCTGGAAGGTGTTGAACTTGAGGGCACCTATTGGCAGACTGTGTGGATTCTTTTAGTTTCTTCAGGCACAAGTAGCAAATATATTCTAGTCTGGTTAGCAAGCAGTGCCGCCCCTACAGGCTAATCTCGTGATTTTGACTAGTCCTTTACTAACCTTAACACAATTCCTAGAGAGTTCTGCACTGTGGACTTAGGACAACTCATTTCAAAGGCAAACCATCCCAGTCCCTCCTCCCTCGCTCCAGTCTTGAAACCTGCATTTTTGTTCTGGAAGCTCTGCTAAGCAGTGGGCTTTCTCCAAAGCTCCTCCTTCCCCATAGAAGTCCCATTAACACAGATTTCACAAACATATGTGCTCTAAGAATACAGTACTTGTGGGGCTGGAAAGATGGCTCCACAGTTAAAAATGCTTGCTGTTCCTGCAGAGGACCAGGGGAGTTGGGTTCCTAGCTCCAACATCTGGTGTGTCACAATCACCTGTAACATTAGCTCCAAAGGCTGTGATGCCCTCTTCTCTGCAGGCACCTGATAAATATGTACAGACACACACACACACACACACA